CGTCCAATCGTTTCAGAGATATTCTCTAATGGATATATACAAACCGAAGCCGGTTCGTATATATTTAGTTAAATAATATTTTATTCATATTTTTTGGTATTTAATATTTATTTTTTTCAGAAATAATATTCGGACCGAAACCAGTCCGAATATTATTGGCGCGTCTATACTATTGCCTCCCGCCAGAAATTTTTTTGGTATTTAATATTTATTTTTTTCAGAAAAAATATTCAAACCGAAACCGGTCCGGATATTACTGGCGCGTCTATGCTGTTGACTCCCGCCAGAAATATTTTTTGGTATTTAATATTTATTTTTTTCAGAAATAATATTCGGACCGAAACCGGTCCGAATATTATTGGCGCGCCTACACTGTTGACCCCCGCCAGAAATATTTTTTGGTATTTAATATTTATTTTTTTTCAAAAATAATATTCGGACCGAAAACGGTCTGAATATTATTGGCGCGTCTATACTGTGACGCCCGCCGGAAATATACGGACCGAAACCGTTCCGAATATGTTGATTGGTATATCCAGACCGATATTGGTTCGAATATTTAGTTTTTCGGACCGACAATATTCGGTCCGTATATGGTCGGTCCGTATACGTCATTTTTCTAGTAGTGACAATCAGGGTTTCAAGCTCCAGAAGAGGAGACATGTTTGAATAAAAATCTGGAGGTCCAATCAAGTCATTTGCTCAACTTAGTTGCTGAAGAGATACAAGGTGAGTTACCTAGTGCAACAATGAAAAATCAAGAAGAAAAGGTAACCACCTTACCCTTGGAGATTGAAGGACAACTTGGAGAAGTAGAAATTATGCCTGCAGAAACTAAACAAGAGGATGTCCCTAAGGAGGAAGAGGAAAAAGCTCAAGTGTCATTTGAAGTGTTCAATGGGGAGTCTCCTTTAATCAAATCTGATTTTAATGATTATTTTGTTATTGATATGGTTGATGAGATTTTGTAGAAAAACACTTATGAGGATTCATTTGAGATTTACTTTATTCAAGCAAAGGACCCAATCAAAGAATACATAAATTGCTTGAACACATCATCTTCCTTGAAATCAAAGGGGGCACTCCTAGAAGAATTGGGAAGGACATCTGCTGGCCTAAACCCAAACCACCTCAAAATAGTCATTGGAGAAAATCTTATGGTGGATTCAATTTAAGGGCAAGAAGACCAAGATTTAAGAAATCGAGAGGACATGCCCTACAACCTGATCCAAAACCACCTTGGAGTGGTAGAAAGTCTAGCTAATGACTATAAATTCAACGCTTCTTGGGAGGCAACCCAAGCATAAAATTTTCTTTTCTTTTATTTTTCTTTTATAGTTCAGATTTTCTTTTAATTTTTGTCTTTTTCTCTTTATGGCCTAGGTTAATGCATAAATTATTGTTCTTTGATTTTGGCCAGGTCATTGAACAAGTTTGGGGGACAAGATTATGGAAATTCACATGCTAGAAGTCTCCTCTAAATGAAGACAACTCAACTTCAAAACTTCAATTTTAAGTCTTTAAGTGCAAAACCTGGGAAGTTTCTCTTTTCTCTTACTTTTATTTTACATTGAGGACAATGTTTGATTTAAGTTTGGGGGAGAGATACACTTTTAGGCATCCATTAGTTGCATTCATATTTGCATGATATACATTTTTTTAGAAATTAGGGTATTTTTTTGTTAGGAATTGGTCCAATTAGTGTCAAGGAATTGAATATTCTTGAATTAGCTTTTAAAATCTTTTAATCTTAAAGGAGATACAAATCTGAAAAATAACACCATTGTAATGAAGTTTAAGTTCATGAGTATTATATTCTATTTAAGCACAAGTTTGTAGTGAGAAGTTTAGAGAGAAGGCTTAGTAGCATCTAAAAAGCACCAAAAAAAAAAACAGAAAAAAAAAGAAAGCCAACACACAAAAGAGTTTATTAATTTCTACTCCAATGTTTCTAGTTGCTTAGTAACTGGGGGTTAGGCATGAAACCCATGTCAATTTTCACGTCAAACGGTGACTTGAAATATGAGTATGCAAAGCACTTTGAGTTTATGACTTGTTGAGTAACTGGGTGCTTTCATCACAAATGTTAGTATTCGCATCAAAAGACAAGTGATAACTTAGGGAAGAATGTGTAGTATGGCTGAAGAAAAAAAAGAAGAAGAAGAAGAAGAGAAGTCGAATGTTTTGTGGCCTTTGTTATTTGAGTAAGTATGTTCTTAGGGGTGTCTCTTCACCTAATGCCCTAAAACCAACTGGTTTGGGAGTCATTGACAAAAAG